TACCATGTTACAAACAAATTGCCGAGAATATATATAATAGTAAATAAGAAATAAATAAACAGTCGTCAGTCGTAATTCATCCATTAAATTTTGTATAATGTAAACGTTGAAATCAAGTAAAGTATAAAATTTCCTTTGTAGTACGGTGACTTTATTATTTATCGATCATCGTACCTACATCCTAGCAGATACTTCTAGCCTTTCACCGATTGATGGCAGCACTTATTCTTTTCATAGATAAGGAGCACAATAATGTGCAAGGAGGACAGTAACATATATTAGTTTCATCGTTCTGCCACTACGTGGCACTAGTATTTTGAGGTATAAAAAATTGACTAAATTTTCATTTGCAAAAAAATACCGAATTAAGAGAATTAATCGGTGAACTTTTGCAATTGTATTGTCAAAATTAGATCATCAATTTTCTTTTTATGCTCCACTTGACTTATAAAATGCACAAATAAAGATTTACAAATTTTTGTTGAAATAGATCGGAGTGCGCGCTCGATAAATATTTCATTTCCTTGGAACTACGTCGAAAATTTCGGTCGAAATTGTTCACAAATATAGTTAGTAATATGCACAATAAATTTTACATCGTTTTCGATATAAATGTTTATTTAATCAATAATTATTTCATATTGCATTATTCGACTGCATCAATATCGCAATGCTAATGCATAATTTTCGTTATTTCGAATTAATTTATAAACTTTTTCGCATCTAATATATAGCACAGAGTCCAAAGAAGATTTTACAATTACATAGAATCGAATTTGCAGCGCAATGTATATAATAATATTACATACCAAGTTAGGTACAACCTATCTTATTTCTAACTTAAGTTAAAATCCGCTTCATGTGCTATGTAATTAGTGATTACATAGAAATTTCTAAAAAGAAAAGGAAAGAAAAGACAATAAAAAATTAAAAAACTAAACTAAAATTAAAAAAAATTAAAAAACCTAACCTAAACCTAACCAAAATAATTCAAGGGACACATAAGAATCCTACAGACTTGTAACAATGTTGTCAAATATGACTTGAAATTATTTGAAACTGAAGCTTTGAATTAAAGTCCGCTTAAAGTTATCTGTACTCTTTAAAATCCAAGCTTATGTTGAATTTCATTAAAAAACAAAAAGACATATAATTGAAACAGCTCCTGCCTTTAGATATAAGATTTCATACTTCCCTCTATTATTTTTTCTTCTTTATCTTTTACTGATTAACAATAATAATTAGAACAGTAGGTTGTCTTTCCAACTTTGAATTATTAAAGTAGATAAGTAACTGGCCATTCACTTCCATTTCTGGACGCCGTATCGTGGATCGTGATTTCTTCAAAAGAAATTCAATCAGCAGAAGGGCCAGGCGATTCTTTTCGTTTATTTTACCCGATCCTCTCTCAGTCGGACGACACACGGCAATGACATTAATATCACATGACACAGTGGGCAGGATGTGATTAATTCAGATCGGTCGTCATGTGTGACTCACATTATGTGCATGCGCGCGACTCATCTTCAAAGTGACGAAAAGAGAGAGAAGGTAACTACCAATAGTGTAGCGCTGTGAATCGCATACACGAGCTGCCACCACGCACTAAGGTCACACACACGAGGTTTGACCTTAGCCCCCAATTTGTTTCACGACGATCAAGTCGAGGAAATCGTTTTCGCAGCCTTCTTCATTGTGATAGCTACTCAATGACTATGTCGTGCCAGGTGTATTAACGTTAATTATTACTATCGTTTCCGCTCATATTTTCAATGAAAATTGCAAATACATCGTTGGCTCACCTGAAAGATAAGTTAAAGTAAATTGAAAATCTTTTGTTTTGTCAATCAGAATTGCAAGCAAAATCCTTCAAAAATATAACAATGAAAATTATTATTAAATACTAGTAAAAATTAGATGAAGATAATAAAAATAGTAAACTGTGGACTGTACTAGACTGTGGATCTTTACGCATTTCTACGAAATTTTAAAGTGCAAGATTGCACGGAATGCACGTAACAGAATTGCTTAATATGATATATTTGGAATGTAAAGCAGTTTCTTAGCGAAGCTAAGATTAATAATTTTTTTTTTCATTATAATCTCAAAAATATAAAGTTGCATAAAAATCCGCACTCCAATTGATATCAATTGACAAATGTACTTAAATACCATCTTATTTTTGAATGGCAATGGAATGAAGTTCATGTAATACTGGCTTTCCTTCGTTACGGTCAATTCAATGTCGTTAGTTTCATTGGTTCAATTTGCTTTCTCTCTTAATTACTTTATCACGTATTACATTTTGTAATTAATCGTTTAAACTGTTGTTAACATATTATTGTAAAAAGCTTATACTTAAGTAGTCGTGAAATCGAATTTACTTAAGTAGAAGCTTAATCGTAAGTAGAAAGGTAGGTAGCTGAATAATCCGAGAGAAGCCACCTGTTCTCAAAAGCAGTTGTGTTAAGTCTAAGAAATAAACAGTAGATCGCGCCACTGAACTTCGATTACTTTCACTTTTGACGCGACAAAAAAACTGACATAAACACTGTTTTCCCCTTCGCTCTGCTAGAAATTTACAAAAGTTTCATCAACGAATATATCGATACTCATACTTCCATTCATATAGATACGTGTGGAGATGTGATCACGTATTTTTAAATATCTAGCTATATATAAAAATACGTAAGAACTGTCACGTTGTAACGCAAGGCGTTGATTAACTTCGTTAGTTTCATTTTTAGTTTACAACGTAAATGTTCGCACTTACTCTCAAGCGACATCAATGAAAATGTAGTCTGACCTTTTTCAGGGATTTATGACATTAAATTGAAGAATTATCACGGCAGAATTACATACATGATCTGCCAAAATTGTTTCCATTCTCTCTGACCAGGATCATTATTCAGTTCGGTGGTCACCGTTCAACTGCACGAGCTTCAAAAACGATACTGGAATATGTATCACACACGAGGCATTTGCAGGTGTAATTCAAACACACATTCAGATTACGACCAAGCATTGAAATCTTTATACGCGTCAGTTTGAACAGCCGAAAACCTGTTCAATTCAGGCTGTAACCTGAATACGACAGAGGCAGAGAGAGATTGTGTTATAGGCGTGGCATACGAGGGGACGTCGTATCATTATACCATAATCGCGGTAACTTGCCTCTTACAAGCCGAGTACAAGTCGTCTAAAGAAACATAAATATCAAACGTCAAACGTTCGTAAGAAACGCGTATGTATGAATATTCCCGTCGTCTGCAACTGTAAGTAATCGTAAAAGAATTCCCATGAGATTGCACGGGGAGATTCTAGCGCTTCAGGCATCCACCACACCATAGAGTCCAACACACATCGGCGACGATGGATAACAACTACCAGGACGATCTCGTGTACGTGCACGATCAGACACGTCATGGCAATGGACGGTTTGATGACGATAGTGGGGGGGCCTGAGGAGGGGCAGAGAGAAAGAGAAAGTCGCAAGGAGCAACAATAGCAGAGAACGAGACAGAGGAGAGGCCTGCACGGGCAGAAGTGTGTTTAGTCAACCTGGTGGCGGCGCTGGACGACCAACTGTCGGCGGCGGAGAAACTGTTAGCCGACTTCGAGGAACTCACGGTTTCGGTGTGCGACCGAGTCCAACTGTCGAGTGCTGTCGGTCGTGTTTGTTCCACGTTTAAACTGCGGATTGTTAGTGCGTTTGAAGAGCAGGAGAGACCACCAGGATCTCGAGTACGTGACCAGTGCGTAAATTTCGTAAACTAAGCGAGAATCACTTCCACTTGGGAACGCGATGGTTAGCAAGGATTCGAAAATGGTCACACCGGAGATGGCCAATCCCTATCTGAGGCCGCCGAGCATGTCGACCAGCCAGTCTCTGAAAACGTTTATGTACAATCGCGAGACCGGCGCGTTTTTAGGCAGAACGGCCAGTAGCTGGGGTAAGTTGCTGCAACGTTCGACGACGTTTGATCGTTGATCGACGTCGTTCGATCTGTTTCGGATTGAAACCGGAGCAACAATCGAAGTAAACTTCAATATCGATTTATTGATCTTTTCGATTCTCAATTCACGAGGACGTAACACGTACGATTATTTGTCTCTAATCGTTGACGACTCGCACGTGGACAATGAACAAATATTGTTTCATTTGTTTGCATGCGTATGCGAGTGAATGTGTACATCTAGAGATGTGCATAATTTTCAATAGAGAACACTTTCAACAAGTGTCAAACAAGCGTCAATCATTTTCAGGTAAAAAAAACTTGTTCTTTTTGTTTTGCTGTTAGATATTGCGAAACGTTAATTATAATAATAAAACAACAAGCCATTTTTAACAATAGTTTTGTACTTTTGTTGGTTTAATTTCATAGAGAAAGAAACGGGAGAATTTGGAAGAAAAGAGTTAATCTTTCTGGGTAATCATTTCCCAAACGAACAGGGACAATTGTACTATGGCTACTTCGTTCAACAGATAGATTTTTTACTTTAATTTCATGTATAGAAACCATGAAATTAAAAAAAAAAAATGGGATAAAGGACAGAGTGCATCAGGTGGACAGCAGAATCAACAAGTTTCATTTGCTAGACGGCATTAATTCGTTGAAAAATCACTTCCATTTGAGAGAAATATGCTAGTTTGTCGATCGTAAAACTATACATGTACTATATTTTGTGACAGGTATTATAATAACGTGGTTCTTTCTGCTTTAATTCATTTTTTTTTTTTTAGGATATTCTTCATACATAATATAATCTTTGCCCAAATAATTATGCAGCAGAATCAATCCTGACAATAATTAGCTATATTTAGTTAATATTTTAAGAATGATATTATATAGTTTTGAGAAGATATAAAAGTAATCCTATAATATTAAATAAATTATAAAAGATTATAAATTTGTTTCTTACAAGTGATAAACCATCGTGAATTTATATGAGATGTTACCATCATTAGGTTGGCATGGTAACAGTTGGAAATACACACTAAAGAAGGGTGATGGAACACCATAAAACATCAATCGACCATGTCGAAATAGAAAGATTATAAACTCGTGGTTTTCGATGTAAAGATCTATATTATTTGCTAATGGAAAGTCTCACCACCTGTCTGACATATATTTTAACCAGATTGGCCAAATTTACATCACATGTAAGAATGTACGCGTTACTTTCTTTCTTATCATCATGCATAAGAATAGTTTAAAAAAAATAGTTCAAATCTTTTCAACACTAACTTTGATTTTTCTTTATCAATATTTAATAATACAAATAGTGTATAAAAAGTTGAGGCAAGGTGTTATTTAGTACTATAGGTAATATTTAGTTTAGTACTAATATTTAGTAATATTTAGTACTATTATATTTACTAATATTTATAGGTAACAGAAGCATGTAACTTGAGCATGATTGCTCTTAAAAATTGGCCTGCAACAGTTTCAATAGTACATAGAAGACCCACAAAAATAGAAAGATAGAGAGAGGAAGAGAGCCGTGAGGTTGTGTCTTCTTTCGTTTAATTAGCTCAGAAGCCTGTTTGTC